AAAAGTCTAATAAAAATTAATAAGAAATCAAGCTAGATATTCATTACTCAATCCTCTAACGAACAACTGTATTTGTATCTCTTGACGATAAAATTAAAATAGATTTTTAAGAAACCCTCAAAGTAGATATTCATGACTCAACCTTCTCATGAACAACTGTATTTGTATCTCTTGACGACAAAAGTCAAATAACAATTCAAATAATCAAGTTAGTTATTCACGACCCAACCCTCTAGCGAACATCTATATTTGTAATTCTCAATGATAAAAGTAAACAAGAATATTTAACGATAATTATATTTGTAATTCTCAAACTAGATATTCATGGTTACACCTTCTAATAAACATTTGTATTCGTATCTTTCAACGATAAGAGTCAAATAAAATTAACAAAAAATTAAATTAAATATTCATGACTCAACGTCTCAACCCTCTAACGAGTAACTATATTTGTATTTCTCAACGATAAAGTCAAATTTATTTATTTTTAAAAGTTAACAAAAAGCTAAACTACATATTCTTTACTCAAACCTCTAACAAATAACTATATTCATGTATTTCGACTATAAAAGTCAAACAAAAATAAATAATTTTATTACATGATTCAACCTCTCCGACAAACAATCGTATTTATATCTCAGTCCCGCATTTTAACCATTCAACGAACAACTACATTCATTGTATATAGATTTTAAACTACAACAAAATCAAATCATCTTTAACTAAAAGAAGGGATATGATTAACTCATCAAATCACATTTTAAAGAGAAATAAGGGGATTTTTCAGTATCTCCTTATTCTTCGTATTATTGGCGAAAAAGTGAGCCAAATGTTTTACTCCGACAATATTTTCCCCATGTTTTACCTTTATAACTTGCTTATTCATCGTATTATTTTACAAGATCTAATACTAAATATTAGTTGATCCGATATTAATGTATTATCGTAAATAAAATTCAAGATAAAAAGTTACTTTGTCTACTAATTTTGCTGAAAGAAAAAGGTTTTCTTGTTTGGCACGTCTTTTTTTTGGGTTTATCAAATTCAAAACTCTATATATACTTAGGTTTCTCCACCTTAATTTTCCTTCTTCTTCTTTTTTTTCCTTTCATTTCTTTTATTTTCTCTCTCTATTTTCTATTACATTTTATTTTCTTAGGGTTTTTCTCTTTTAATTTTCTCTTCACCTCCTGCTGCCGTTTCTTTTTAAAGGTAGAATCTTTTTCCCTTTTATTTTTCTTTTCTTTCTTTATTTTTTCGAATCTGATGTGAACTGAATTGAACTCTCTTTTTTAGGCATCTGAGAATTGGATTTTCAAGATTGATTCTTTCTGATTCAAAGGGGCATGATATAATTAACAGGTATTTTATTACACCTTTTTTTACTTGTGGGGTTTATTTTCTTGGTTAAAGATTACATTTTTAACTTGTGGGGTTTATTTTCTTGATTCAAGATTACATTTTTACTTGTGGGGTTTATTTTCTTGATTAAAGTTTACATTTTTAACTTGTGGGGTTTATTTTCTTGATTCAAGATTACATTTTTTTAGCTCATCATGCAATGCTGTTTGAATTTTATATGTTTTTAGTACTTTTTATGGGTACCCTGTTTGATTCTATGGATGTTTTCCATAGTTGGGCATGCAAAAGGTGAAAACTTTAGCCATTTTTTATTGTGGCTTTTCTGCAAAAGGAAAAAAAACAAACTCTGTTTTTAACCTTTTTGGTGTAAAATTTTCTTTTGGCCATGAAAGGTGTTTTATTTCTGGCTTTCTGCAGAGTTCTCTCCTTTTTTTTTTTTGAGTGATTTGATTCGCTGCACTTGAGCCGAGTTTCTTTGCGTAAACAAGCTCCACGTGAGATTTCACTGTGTATGTTATTATTTCACTGTGTATGTTATAATTGTTTGAGTGATTTGCAGTTCTGTACAATCATAAATTTAGTTGTTTGCTTTTATGGGTTAATAATAATGGATTTGACAGCACCAAATAGTGAAGATGGTATACTTAATTAGTTTTTTGTCGTGTAATTTAAATTATTTTATTTTTTGTCGGTTGCTGTATGATGTTGAAATATTGATTATGCGTCATTATCAGTTTTTTCATGGTTTACCCGCGGAAAATGGAACTAAGCAGTAATTAAGCATAACATTTTTTAATTATAAGTCATCTTATGATTCTTTAGTTAAGTAATTAATACACAGCCTCGTTTGAATTACTAACTGGTCACTGCCTTTTACTGACATTTTTTTCTTGTTTTTGATTCAAGTGAATATTGCTTTTTGAGGTCCTTTAGGCCAACTTATGAACAGTCCTAAAAACTACTACTCATTCATCTCGATCTACGTGACACTTTTTGGTTATCGAGAGAGAGTCAATTCGACTACTTTTCGAATCTAAATTAGTTTAGATCGACTCATTATATTAAAATTAAAATTTAGATAGTCAAAAAGTACTAGAAGTTACGGTTTTTATTATGTTTTAGAATCTCAAAAAACGAAAAGTGTTGCTACATAAATTGGGACGGAGGTTGGCATTTTTTTCCTTCTTTTATTTATAATTTCATTGTCTTGTGAGGTTAAACTTGCTCTCTGATCTAATGTTTATATAGTGTAATTGGGAGTTATTAGTTTTTGATCAAGAATTGGTTTAAATATGTCTTAACAGAGATTTAATTAAGTTCAATAAGCTCATTAGCATTGAAGTTTTCCTTTCTTTTTTTCACTTTAATGGTGGGGTTAAAGTAGGTTGGGAAGTCATATCATTTCAAGTACAAAATGGCATTACTTGAATCAATAGTAATGTTTTTTCCTTTTTACATTTAATTTTGGTTTGGCTTTCAGATCTGAGTTTTTAGTTGGAAAAAGTAAAAAATCATGTAGGGTAAGTTGAGATGTCAAGTCTTTCAGCTTGACATTGATTACTTTTGAAATGTACTGTTGCTGATAAAAGGCTTTTGTTCTTTTCTGCTTTGATGGCAACCAAAAAACAAAAGTTTGGTGGTATTCCATAAACTATTCACTGATTTCGTCACCTTTGTATCTTACTCCTTAGAAGTATTTACCTCTTCAACGACACTAGAAAAGTTAGAATTAAAGAGTTATGGAAATAGGATTGAGACATTGTTTTAAGCGAACTTAAAAAGATAGTAAGACAAAGAAATTGGAACGGAAGTAGTACTAGTATATCACAATTGGGATATGAAACTATGACCAGAAGCAAAATTTTGAACCCCCCTTACTATTGTACTAGAATCTTCGATTATGTTGAGGCGATTTAACAACTTATACATGGCAAAAAAATCGTTTTTGCTTTATTTGCACTGTACAATTTTATGGTGAAGGGGATTCAATTGATGAGAAACAACTTTAAGCTTAGTGATGTCTTCATAATTAAACCAGACCATAGTATTGTTTCGTGGCGGGATTCCAAATATAGTCAGTGTGACAAGATCTGATCTTCTTGATGCGTTTTCTGTATATCTTAGCATTTATTTTGAACTGAATAGTGACAGGGAAGTAAAAGAAATCCATCTTCTAGCTGTTGGAAAAGAGTGAATTAATAACTTTGGTAGTTTTCATTCGGTCGCTTTCCATGAGGTACAATAGGAAAGTTGGAAATTTTTGTTTGTTCTGTACGTGAGCTGTAAGCTTAAAAAGTTTAGTGCACCTGGTCCTCTTCCGTATTAACCTTAACTTAGGTTGAAACGAAGAAATGAGATCTCTTGCCCTCTTACAATTTGAATAGAACAAAATGACATTTTCAAATTTCTTACGTGTAAACATGAAGATAGCTAGTAGAAAAGACATAACAATAATAAATTATGAAAGGCTAGGAAATCATTTCTCCCTGGTGAAGCAGTAGGTCCTTTGGTGTGTACTCCTATATTCTTCCTAGAGGAAAATATGGATCTGGATTTTGTATAATTAAATACCCAAATGCGGTGGTCGATATGGGATTTTAAAGTTAGTAGATTGAGATTTCCACTTTCCCCACTATGCAAACTTAATAATCAAAAAGACAAATTTTGGAAATTTTCTACTACACGTGTACATTTGTAACTACACGTGTACATTTTCAACTAGATGTGTTTATTTTCAACTATACGGGTACATTTTTATGAGTTAAAAATAACTGTGCACCCACACTGACTTGTCCCTACATATCCGTCTTTGGCTAAATTTATATGTGGGGATAAGTTGGTGTAGGTGCACAATTGTCTTTAACTCATGAAAATGTACACGTATAGTTGAAAATGTACATGCATAGTTGAATAATGTACACATGTAATTGAATAATGTACATGTGTACATTTTCACGAGTTTAGCGTAGCTGCTCATCTTCCATATTAACCTTAACTTGGCTGAAACGAGGAAATGAGATTTCTTGCCCTCTTACAATTTGATTAGAAGAAAATGACCTTTTTAGATTTCTTATGTGTAATAGTAAAGATCTCTGATAAAAGGACATAAAATTAATTTTTGTTTGTAAAGGGCTAGAAAACCATTTCTCCCAACTGAAACTGTAGGCCCTTTAATGTGTACTCCTTTATCCTTCCAAGAGGAAAATATGGATCTTGATTTTGTACTATTAATGTGGATATTGGATTTTCAAGTTGATAGATATAGATTACCACTTTGCCCACTATACAAACTTGATAATTTAAAAAGACAAATTTGAAAATTTTCAACTACACGTGTACTTTTTCAACTATACGTGTACATTTTCATGAGTTGAAGACAAGTGTGCATCCACACCAACTTATTCCCACATATCCATCTCTGGCAAAATGGATACCTTCCTGTTCACAGTGGTTTTCACTGCTTTTTTGCAAAGCAACGTCGAGATTGAAAATGTACACACATAGTTGAAAATGCACACGTGTAGTTCAAAAATGTACACGTGTACATTTTCATCAGTTGAAGACAACTGTGCACTCAGCCACCCACACCGACTTATCCCCACATATTCGTCTCTAGCTAAATGGATACCTTTCTGTTCACAGTTGTTTTCACTGTTTTCTTCCAAAAGCATTGTCGAGATCAAGATACTTGGAGAGGAACTTCAAAGATGAGTCCTGGTTGATTTTGGTTTCTGCAAAAAAGAGAACAGCTTAATCTTTATGTAGAACAGCTATTGTCCAACATTTTAGCATGAAATGGATTGTTATACTAGAGCAGAATAAGGTGTTACCTCAGTTTTCGAGTCTTCTGTTTCTTCAAATGGAAATGCATTTAGTAAAGATTCAAGTTTCTATTTTTTGCCTTTTTTCCTGTTAACATGAAATGATTCCATTTTCTTTGTTTGCTCTGTGATGGTGATAATTTTTATAAGAGGTCGTATAATGTTTGTTCAGACACATAGCTAACTTGTTTTTCCAGGTAGGAAGACACGGTAGACTCAACTAATTTCGAGCCAAAATGTCCTGTTTCGTAGTGTAAATGCAGTGTGGCTCAGGAGATGAGGTACTGCTCAATGAATTTCTGTCCGTCTAATATCAGACAACTAATTTCAGAGTCACATTGCTTGACATTTTGCGATTTCTCCAGATTGCAGGAAGCCCGTACTTAATGGAATCCATTCCCAGTAGTAGTGATAAGAAAACTTTGAAGAGGTGGTTTTTCATTGATAAAAGGGTTGGTTAAAGATTCGCTACTCCCAAACATCCACTACTATAAAGTGTCAACTGCATACCTATCAATTGCATAGTCAAAATCTGCCGAATCCATAGTGTTGCAATGGACTTGAATTCGGCACAAGCTTCTCCAGTTCTTACTGATCCTTCACCGTTGAACAAGTCCAGATTGGGAATCCATTCTAGTTTATTTCCTTATTCACAATCTGGGCCTTCATTCTCCACTAGCGTGCTATCAATTCCTAGAAAGAAGCCAGCGAAGCTTGATGATGTTCGATCCAATGGTTGGCTTGACGCAATGAAGTCGTCTTCACCTCCTAGGAAGAAGATTCTGAAGGATGTAAACATTGATGTTTCTTCTGATGATGCTGATGTTACTTACCTTTCTTGGATGGTATGTTAAAACTTTTACCAAATGCACACTTGGCCTATTTATTTCTGTTTTCACCAAAGCTTCGTACTTCCTTTTTCCAGATAAAGTATCCATCAGCTCTCAACTGCTTTCAGCAAATTATGAGGCAAGCAAGGAATAAACAGATAGTGATTTTCTTAGATTATGATGGGACTCTTTCTCCTATCGTTGATGACCCTGACCGTGCTTTTATGTCCAATGAGGTACATCGAACTTTCATATGCGAATACAATGCTTATCTGTAGATGTTCACATAAAAACATATATTCTGCAGATGCGCTCTGTTGTCAGTAATGTTGCAAAGTATTTCCCAACAACAATCATCAGTGGGAGAAGACGTGATAAGGTAACTTTTAGCTTAATTAGTAATTCAAGTTGTTATCAATGTACATTTTAGATCTCGCTCTTCATTTGCAGAAGTGACTTATGTTCTTATTGTTACAGGTTTATGAGTTGGTAGGTCTAACAGAACTTTATTATGCCGGTAGCCATGGTATGGACATCATGCTGCCAATCAAGAATACGTTGTCTGCTAACGATTCAAATTGTATCAAAGATACTGACCAGCAGGTATTACACTAGCTGCCTGCTTTATGAGATTCTCCTTTCATTCATTATTTGTAAACGTTGTATCTTGGTCGACTTCTTATAACTATTTCTGTCAACCCTTTTTTTTGTGAGCAGGGCAAGGAAGTCAATCTGTTCCAGCCTGCTCGTAAATTTTTATCAATGATTGATGAGGTGCTGTAAAAGTTCTCTCTAAAAGCATTTTTAACCAGTAGATGACTTCTTGGTTTGGCTAGAAAAGGTTAAGTTATTTTGCAGATGTTAACTTGCTTGACTACTTTGCAGGTTTTTAAAACCCTTGTCGAGAAAACTAAAGACATTAAGGGTGCAAAAGTTGAGCACCATAAGTTTTGTGCCTCTGTACATTACCGTAATGTAGATGAGAATGTGAGTGCCAGCTTTATCTACTGTTGTTCTATATTGAATGCTGAGGTTGCCTATGTTAAAAACAGAACAAATGTTTAATGATCTTCATTTTGATCACAGAATTGGTCTCTCATTGCACAATATGTCCATGATGTCTTGAAAGACTACCCTCGGCTACGGCTAACTCATGGGAGAAAGGTAACTAACTTGGTGTCCCTACTGAAGTTTCCGTTTCAAATCTTTGTGATTGCAACATTATGTTGATGATTAAATCGATGCTATACCACCTTATGTTTTTTCTTTCTTGAATAGGTTTTAGAGGTCCGTCCTGATATTGACTGGGACAAAGGAAAAGCAGTTGAATTTCTGCTGCAATCACTAGGTATGTAGTTCTTTCCCTCTCATCCCTCACCGAACCCCTAAGAGACTAAAGTAAATAGCTGCGGTGAACATAGAATTAGCAAAGTCAGGGTGTTCTCAGACTGTCCTTTTCAGATTTGTGCATTTGTTAAACAAATTCATACGGAACGATGCAGGTTTTAGTACCCCCAGAGACGTGCTCCCGATATATATTGGAGATGATAGAACAGACGAAGACGCATTCAAGGTGATTTTGCGCCTGTTTCCGATAACGAAGAAACTGCTTTTCTGTTTGTTATCATAATTTGCTGACTGCATTTTTTTCCCCAGGTATTGAGGGGGAAATATAAAGGGTATGGAATTCTTGTTTCAACTACCCCAAAAGAGAGTAACGCATCCTTTTCTCTCAAGGATACTTCACAGGTCTGGCCAACTTTTCGTTTTTGGATGTTAAAAAACGTCTTTTCTCTCTGATAAATCGTATAATCTAAAGTCATGAAACTCGAATATATGCAGGTGAAGAAGTTCTTGGAATGTCTTGCGAAAACGATGGAAGTTGATGAGATATAAAAAGCATGAGGAGAGCTAAATGGAAATAGTGTTAGGTTTATAGAAAATGGGTACTAGGTTTCAAGATTTTTTTTATTTATGAATAAGCCAAAGTCATCTATCTCTCAATCTTTGTTTACTGTTTTGTTGAAGGTTCAAATTTTGCAAAGTTCCATTCTTTTGTTACTTTGGTTTTATATTCTTTAGTTTTTATCCTATTTTGGAAATGGAAGGTCTTCAAAGGAGGACCTTCTTCTCTCTTGAGTTGGTAGTAGTAACTAGTTCAATAGGTTGCCCATTATGTATTTCTCATGAACACATTTTGTTATTTGTGTGACTTTCTATGTGATTTTTAGTGTGAATTTGCATTGACAAAGTGAAGTCATCTCCCCTTCTTCAAGTAAACAAAATTTTGAATTTCTCATGTCTGGTTGGTCAATATTTTTCAAAAACATCATGTTCCTTATAAAAATGAGGAAAATAACTTCTCATTGACACTGTCGTTTCCACTTTTCAACACACCTCATCTTCACTTCCATCCCATATTCCCATGTCCTCATCACCTCACCTCCTCTACCCTCCTCCTTCCGTTCTCATAATATTTGTCTATGTTATATACAATGCTTATATGATAAAAAAAATAAATTGCTTTCATCCTGAACACAGGGAAATAAGTAAGAAATGAAAATATTTTCTATGAAATACAATTTCCATCATATCGAACACACCCTTAGATTCAGTGTTGGGCTGTTTTGTCAGTACTGATCCAGGCCCATTCACAACAATTGGTCTACTTTGTATCAGTCATATATTTGCTGCTTTAGTGAAATTTTGGTAAGTATTAAAATCAGACAATACAAGTAGTGAAGTAGCTAGGCGGAGAATGCAAGGAAAACCATCACTTTCATCACCATACTTGTCTGGTAGTCTATATTATATTATCCTTTCGATGTTCACAATATATTCCTATTTCTATTTCAATATTTCAGTTAATTCTAAAAAAAAAAAACGGAATAGTTTAGTTTCATGTCACGTAAGATTCATGTTTGAGAAACACTTTCTATACTATGATTTTCATAAACTCGAAATTGAGATAATTGATTTAGGGAATTGTATGGTGATGGTGCTTTGATTGCAACATTTGTTTGCAAAATAAATTCTTTAGTGTCTCGATATTTCCTTTTCATTTTTTTCCAAATAAGAATGTCATATTAATGACACCATCTTTAGTAAGGATAACTTATTAAACTAAAAGTTAGTACTAAAGTAGTTTTAATAAGGATAAGTTGTTAGATATATCCAACTGTTATTTTATTTGATAAATTCTGTATCAAATTATGATGGGATAAGTTATGCTAAGATTATTTTTTATTGAGTGTTTGGTTTGTTGTATTCAAATAATAAATCTTAAGAACAATATATAAGTTTACAAAAATACCTTTCATAAATGTGAAAAGTAATGTATAAAAAGTGTTTAAAGGGACATTTTTGTCATTTTATCCCGGGATTACTATACTACCCATGGAAAGGGATAACTTATCCCGGTATTAATTATTAATCCCGAGATAAGTTATCCCTGACTTGCCAACCAAACAACAAATTAAGTGACACTATAATTTAATCCCAAAACTATTTTAAGTTATCCTTCACACCAAACGACCCCTAATAGTATAAATTAAGACAGAGTAAACATGTGTCCTAATATTATCCACGAATATATCACATTAAAATTCTAATGTTATTAATATTCCTTTATGGCTTTATCCATTTCGTTGTACCGAGACAATAGTCAATTTCCCACATTGAACTATACGTTGCGCATAAACAGTTGTACATCCTCAGTTTCTCTCCATTTGGACATTCGCCATTTTCAATATATAAAGCTCGGATTGATTCACTTTCCCTCAATTCAATCATCACTCACTCACACACTCTCTCTCAGTTGAAAATGTCATCCTCTTTGCATTCTCCGCTATACTCCTCTCTCTCATCTTCCTCGGCTCTCCAGGTATCGCTCTCTCTTTCTCTCTCTATATGTGTGTAATGTTCATATTTGAATGTTCAATGATTTGTTTATGTAATCAAACAGGACAGAAAGCTGATAAATGCAGTTAATTTTGCGAAGCCGAATTTGATTTTCAAGCCTCGCCGATCGTTTCCTCTAATCCGAGCTTCCGCTGGCTTCTCTTCATCTCTCGATACAGGTACTGCATGATTTTTCAATTTGTATAATCAAATTGGTGAATTTTTCAGTAAATTTATATTGATTGGATGAGAAATCAGTGAAATCGGTGAGTTTTTTGTAATGATTTTAGGTTTGAGTACTGAATTGGATGCTGTAGCAAGTCATAGTGAGATCGTTCCAGATACAGTCATTTTCGATGATTTCGAGAAGTTAGTTGTGTGCTTTTTGAATTGCTTTGTTTAATCTTATTTGAGCGATATTCATTTGATGTGTATATTTATTTGTTGCTTTTCGGATTTATAGATTTCCTCCAACTGCTGGTACTGTAAGCTCTTCTCTGCTCTTAGGCATATGCGGTCTTCCTGATACAAAATTTAAGGTAATTATTAGGAGTTATAACTATTTGAAATACTACGAAGTGTACACTTTTTTATACTTATAAATCAAGTAGATATCATGCAAAGACAGAGTGAAAAATTAAGAATATGATCCGAATAGATGCTGATTTGATTTGATGTTGTGCTGACCGAAGTGCATATATTGGATGTAGAGTGCTGTAGACAGAGCTTTATCAGATTCTGAGTGTTATGGATTGGAAAGTTCTGATCTTCAGATGTCTTGTTTTTTCAACAAGGTTGGTGCCTTTATTATGTTAGCTAAGTGTGTACTATAGTGTGTTTGTAGTCAATGATTGTGTTAACTATTGTTTGTTGTGATAATAGGCTTTAGCACACGTTGGTGGTGATCTAGCAAAGCTTGTGCCTGGTCGAGTTTCTACTGAAGTGGATGCTCGCCTCGCATACGACACACATGGCATTGTGCGAAAGGTAGTAGTGAAAATCAGTATCAAGTAATTCAGTATTCATTAGGAGGGGCTGATGGAACCTATGTTCAATGGGTTCAAATGAACCTAAACACATAATATCGAAAGTCCAATGCGTTCAGTACTAAGACTATAAAAGGTTGAACCCATCAAGTATAAATTTTTGATCTGCCTCTGCATTAGGATTCATCTGTCTGGGCTAGTCTTTTCCCTGGCATTGACCTCTTCAATAGTCAATCAAATAATGAGAATTTTGTACATATTTAACGCAGTATGTAATTATAACAGTTCATATTAGTGTTTCCTTTTGTCTGTATCATAATACAACGAAATATGCATTCATAAGACTCTTGAACAAAGTTTCAGTTTCTGATTTTTGTTGACAAACTTCTATATGGAGGGATTTTTTTCAAAAGAAGCTCTCAGTTTTTGGGTTCTAAGAGCATAAAATTGTGAAGTTGAAAGAGATGACTTGATCGAAACTGATAAATTAATGGAAGAAATGGCAAGGATCCTCCGCCTTCAACTATAAGGTTGAGGGTACATGTCACCAAGGGAGAAAATGTGGGAGCAGCCACTATTGGCTGCTTGTTAGAGGGACTTTGCGGACAGGGTGAGCTTTACAGTAGCTGGAAAATAATGAAAAACATTACTTGTTGGAAAATTTGTTAGCTATGAGATGGCCCTTGATTCCACATTGTTTGACTTGGTCATTGATAGAGAATCAACAACATTTTTCTCAGACGTTGATTTATTTAATATTTATATCTATATCATTGATGGTTTAGAAATTGGAAACTACTATTCTCTCCATCCCATTGATGGTGGTAGGATTGTATTCTACTTTTTACTGGTGTAGAGTGCTTGGAATATCCGAAACATCGATGGTAAACATGAAAAATTGAATCAATCATTTTACTGCTGGCTAACCTGCAAGTTGGTGGTTGTTTGAGAAATATGATAACTCTTATTTCCCTCTCTTTAGCTTAGAACTTTCCTTGTTAGTGGGAAGTTGTAAAATATACTAAATCCCGGGGTAGTTCTCTCTCTCTCACTATCTATATGTTGCAGTACTAGTGTCGTCTTATTTTTATTTTTTATGTTTTTTTTTATCCAGTAAATGTATCAAACTATCGATTTTAAGTTCCCTCTTTTTATTTGAGCATAGTTATTAAGATAGTAGTTAAAGTTTGTTGTGTTTGATATAAATGGTTCCTCAATAAAGTTGACCTTTTCAATATTGTTTTTTTCTCAAGGAAAATGCGGCTTCTGAATTTCTCTCTTCTTTTTTTTGCAAAAGATATTGAAGAGTGTAGTGAAAAAGGCTTCCTTTTCAAGAAAAATCAACCCAATTTTCAGACAATCAGAATTGGAGCCACTCTTATTCAGCTTTAACCTCAGCTTGAGGTTTTAATCTTTAAATACCAAAAGATCAGAATCACCCAATGGCTGCATATACATGCCCGTTTGTGGGGAATTGTCTAAATGGTTAGCTATAAAATGTCATTTAATGTTTTTGAAATGTAAAATCGCATCCTGTCACCACCATATCACATTCTTTACCTTTCTTGTGGCATTTCCTATTTTTTTGGGATAGTATTTGAGCGGGTTCAACTTAACTTTGCAGGTGCATGACCTTTTGAAAGCCTATACCGAAATTGAAGTGCCTCCAGAAAGATTGCTGTTCAAAATTCCTGCAACTTGGCAAGTGAGTGCCATAAGACAAATATAATTGTTTCAGTCTCATGTAGATCAACTCATGTTGAATCTAACTGTCTCTGAAAGTTCTGGATTCTGATTCTTCTGAAGGGTTATCCTTTCTCATTTGTCTGGTTTTATCTTTCTTTTAGGGAATTGAGGCATCAAGGGTGCTCGAAGCTGAGGGTATACAGACACATTTAACTTTTGTTTACAGGTATAAACTTTCACACACAGATTGACTAGAGCTCATGTTCATATTCCGTGTATGGCACTAATTTTTCATCACCTTCTTCATCTGCCACCTCCTCCTTCCATAGCATGTCTATCAAATTAGACCATACATTATTCTTTATGGACAGTGAAACCCTATAATTATTTTGGTTTGCATTGTGCATACTCCTTTGTTAGCATTTCATTTAATTCATTATTGGTGATAGTTTTGTGCTGGTCATTAATTCTGTAGAGCTGTGAATTGAGATAATTCTCATGTGTGCTCTATATACTCTTCCAGTTATTTAGATTTTATTTTTAGGCAAACTCTTTATAATTGTTGGTTTCCACTTTGTTCTAGTTCATGTAGCATATACTTTGTTGTGATCTTGAGTTTACATGAGAAAAAGGAAAATTGGTTCAAGTGCTGATGCATGCCTAAGCTTTACCAAGTATG